GGCGGCGTTGTAACGCAACTTGTAATAGGGACGGCTTACTGCTCTCCCATAGTTGAGTAGGAAGTACTCGAAATCATCAAATATCTCGTTTAAACATACCGAGGCAGAGAGAACACAATAATGTGCCTGATGGGCACTTTACGTCGTTTCTTTGGAATAGCACACGAGAGGGAACCGATGGCACGTACCATACGTGCCTAAATGATGAAATCTTTGCACTTATTGCCAAAGAGTTTACCAGTCTGTGAACTGATGCAAATGTCTCCCACAGATATCTGTGAATGTAATGCAGTGAAATAGTTAAATGGTGGCCAGCCTCAAAGATGGCACCCAAGACGACGCTGGTCCATGAAAACCACGTTTCGACCCGCCTAGGTCAGATGCTTCAAAGACCTCACTTAGTTCAGAAAATGAAAGACATTGCCAACTGTTAACCACCTTGCGGCATGGGATGTGGTGCCCTCCGCCTCATGTCCGTAATGCGGCCGGACGGAAACCCTCAGTCATGTTCATCACGAATGTTCTGTGGCCAACACTTTCTGACGTTTGGTGATCAACATGATTGAAGTTATGATAAAATGACAGTCGCGTCATCGAGATATTGTTCGTTGAGTTCGTAATATTTACTGGCGCTTTTTTATTGTGGAAACGTAGGAGAATGGCGCACCTGCGGAGACGCCTGCAGAGGTTGATGTTTTTTTCTGCTACATCACTTAACAACTTTCATGTTAACACATCTGAACGAAGAGCTAGTCACTTCGGTGGAAGAAGCGTTCTTCCTGTTCTGGTGAACGTGATCTTTTCTTGTTGGAGTTAGTCCTGTTTCACTAAAACTTCCATGTTGTATAGTATATGTATTTTTTGTTCGTGTTCATGAAGTGTACGTATATCTGCGCGTAGTCTTTTTGTGCACGCTATGAACTTCTTTTGCAGGTACAAACAGTTTTCATTGTACAAATGTATGTATACTAAGGTAAATAGTGATTTTCTTGTTTCTTGAGTACAAAATATTATCAAGCGAATAAATTTTTGTATGCAAAGTTCGAACAGAAATAAATTTCTTTTTAAACAAGTGTGCCGTTTGACGTACTCTAAATCTTCGAGCATTTGTTCTAAACACGCAGCTCTTGGCTGTTTTTCAAGCGCAGACTTTGATATCTAAATCACTTGCCGTTGGTTGCAAGTGCTCCGCACTCTTCTATGCTCGCATACGTATCTTTATTATTAAGTGCACGTTGAACAACAGCGGTCACATGGTCGATGCAGAGCTGGAAGACGTAGAATCACAAAGCACAGGCTGAGTGCACTGCTAGTGCACTTCTTACTTTTACAGTTGACAGTTTGGTGAACACGCACAAACTACGGTTTTCAGACACTCTCCTACTGTCTTCCTTCAACACTAAACAAATATAACTTATGCAATGACAACATACGTTACCTTTCAAAACGAGAATGTGTCGAATTGTTTTTTTGATTATCAACCTAGCTTTGGTGTTTCTTTTTTTATAAATGTGTTTTTTACTGAATTTTTTATCCCTTTGCTTTCTGTATGCCTATTTCAATATTGCGACCAGTGAAAATTCTTGCCAATATTGCTGCTGCCATTATTGTTCGGAAGGTGGGACCAGCCAAACTGCCTATATGCAGCTTTCATAGCACCATCTTTGCTGTTTAAACATGTCTTGTGTCTATTTGACATTAAAGTTCACTTCACTTCACAAATGCTTCTCTGAGTGCTGCATGTATCGTATTATAGTGCAACAAGCCTAATTATCTTTTATCTCACCCCAGGTATTCAAACTAAACAGGAGTATTCGAGTATGATGTGCCTAATAATCCTGTCATGCTTTGGTACATCCACATGCGATTACCGTTAATGCTGTCACGCTCGGCGGAGCCTGGGGCATATATATGAACTCTTTTTCTGAAATGAATTCAGTTGCGAGTGTAGCCATGGTGTCACGTTTTATATGTGCCTGTTAATTCCTTAAAAAGTGCGCTACTGAACCATACATTATAATTACCAATGCCTGCTCGTGCCGTTGCTTGGTTCATATATATTGTCATAAATTGGCCTTTAACTACAGTTTATCTTAACCCGACGGTCCCGCTGCGGTGGTCTAGTGGCTGATGTACTCGGCTGCTCACCTGCAGGTCGCGGGATTGAATCCCGGTTGCAGCGGCTGCATTTCCGATTGAGGCGGAAATGTTGTAGACCCCTGTGCTCAGATTTGGTTGCACGTTAAAGACACCCAGGTCGTCGAAGTTTCCGGAGCCCTCCACTACGGCGTCTCTCATAATCATATGGTGATTTTGGGACGTTAAACCCCACATATCCACCGTCAAATCTTAACCCGACGTGACAGCTGTATCATAGGAGCACATATGTAATGTTTATAAAAATGGATAGCCATCCCTGCATCCTGAATTGACGCTTCATAAACATTACAGTCTATTTGAAAGGCAGCTGCGAGACCTGGCATGACTCGGCATTTGCAAGCAGAATCTTGGGATTGGATTGCCCCTGGGACCTTGATATATATTTTTTTACAGTTGTTGCGTCAACGCAGCCAATGCCAGCTTTTACTAACGCATTCCCCACGCGTTTTATTGCCGTTCCTGGGTAGATATGAAGTTTGTATAATGTGCGGCACATACCAGCATTCGCGTGGCACATAGCCGCCTGCAGGTACGTGACACTGTCTGGCGGTAACTGTTTGACGGCCTACGAGATGGCGTTATGACGTGCCTCACGCCGTGACGGGTGAGCCGTCACGAGAGCACCCTAACGTTGGTGGCTAGATCAATTATTTATTTATTTTAGAAATTGCTGCCCTTTAAGAGGGCTATTGCAGGAATTGGAATATACAGTGCAGAAAAAAATTGCAACAGAACAGGTACATGAGGAGTAACAACAAAAGAACAATAAAAATATTTAGAGCAATAAAGAAGTTAAGCTTTTGTTACTCAATGATTTTTAACAGGAATTGTCACAGAATCATACAGGGCGAGTGATTCTGAAGTAAGTACCTAAGAGATTTCAATATTCTGTTTTGCGGGGGAAGAAACTATACCTAAATGCATGTGTGTATGGAAAAAAAACATAGGAAGATTGAGCTCATGGAAGTTACGGGTAGAAGAACGCTTGGCGAACCAAGGAAAGGCTGTGTTTGAAATGGGATAAGCATGGTTAACTGTGTTGTGCGAACATTTTTTATTCTACATCACGACGTACTGAAGGAGGTTCCAAAGCAGGTTCTAGCTCACGTAATGCTAATGACGGTGAGAAGTAGCGATCGTACCTGCGAAAAACTAAAGCGTGTTTTGGGGGCATGTGTAATGAGAAAAAATACGGGTGCGCACGGTACTAAATTCTGTTCAACGGGCGCCGAGCGTAACTTGTTTTACTGAATAAGACAAGAGAGCAAGTTGCACAATTTCAGTGGGTAATTTCATTGAACATGTGGCTATCACTGTTTTTCATATGTATGGTTCAACTGTGTGACAGACAGTGTTCCTTGTTTACATGTCTACTGCTAAAGTCACGTTTGTCAATATGCAGTGTAAACTTACTTTGTTGCTGTTTTTCTTTTTTGCCATTTGAAGCCTCTCGGTCGCCTGGCGACATTGCGGAAATATTTATAGTACCGTTACGCTGCCGTGTGTGCAAAGACCACCTCGCAACAGCAGTGAATAAGCGCCCATAACCTGCGGGCGAGCACTGCGACCACCCTCACCCCGCCAGCAATGCAGCGGCCGTATGTCTCCATGCAATGATGACGATAGCTTAAGTAGTGCCGTCTCAGCGTCAGATGCTTTAGTTCACAAGACCATCACTACCTTTATTTCGTTGCACTGTCAAAGATACAGTTTCTCTTCTTTGAATGGTAGTATAGGTGTTCTGTGGGAAAGCGTTGCCCTGCGTACGTGTGGTCGGGCTTTTACTGTCTCGCTCAATGAAGGTTACCTCCAAAGTGCTGCACAGGGATGGGGGCGGGAGCGGAAAGAAAGTATCGGAGAAGAAAAATAAATAAAACGGAAGCATCCCTACCTATTCGCGCGCGCTTCGCTTTTCTGCCAATTAAACAAAGCCGTCTAGGAAAGGCAAAGGGTGGATCTAAAGAAACATCACGTGACATTCTTTATTGTGAAGTATGAAAAACAAATCCTCAGCCTGCACCATATAGCAGGCAATGCCAATTAGAAAAGAAAAATGAGTATGGCAGAGCCAAGGGAAATCTTGAGGTTTATTGCGTGACATATTCTTCATTGTGACGTAAGAAAGAGAAATCGTGAGCCTGCACCATAAACATATAGCAGGCAACATCACGTGACAGGCTCACGGGCTCATGTAGAGTTCAGGGTCGCAGCCAAGTCCAAGCTACGAACGCCTGAACAGCAAAAAACTTTCCAACAGCAGCGCCGACGGCTATTTACCGAGAGAACTCGTGTTCACCGCGCATATGTAGCAGTGCGGTTACAAGAACAGGACCGGAGGGTGATGCACAAGCAGCAAAAAACGCACCGAGGATCCGGCAGCTTTCAAAGCCGAATGGAAGCTTCAATGTGAGTCGAATAAGCGGCATTTTGGGCAGAGCAGCACCTATATACGAAGCGACGGCGGAAATTAGTTCACCGGGGCGGACCCCTACCTTAGGCTGATGTTTCTCGAGGGACTTCGGCTGGGACGTCTGCAACCATCTGTGGCCACTAATTTCAGCTTTGCTGGTTAACCGTTGGTACGGAGTGCTTAGGCGGTGATTTTCGAGAGTGAGTGAGTGAGTGAGCGAGTGAGTGAGTGAGCGAGCGAGCGAGCGAGTGAGTGAGTGAGTGAGTGAGTGTGCGTGTGCGCGTGTGCGTGTGCGCGTGTGCGTGTGCGCGTGCGCGTGCGCGTGTGCATGTGCGTGTGTGTGTGTGTGTGTGTATAGTGCACGACACAACCGAATGTCGTGCACTATACCACTGCAAAGGCTTGCTGCTGTTCGGATTCATTTGACGTCAACAGTGCATTGCACAACCAAAAGTCTAGTTCTGCGACCTTATTGGACATTACAAGCGTATCGAGGTGCTTCGCAGAAGAAAGTTATAAGAGAAAAAACTGCAGAAGCTCCTTTTAGTCACGTACGGCTACTTTGTACGCTCTCCGTTCACACCTATCAATGTAAATTTGCCTACATTACCAAGGTACTTTCACGGGCATTAACTGAAAGTCAAAATCATCCCACTGTGGTGATAAACACAAAAATTACAAGTGGAGCATTCGTGGTACTAGCGTTGTGATGTTTTCAGCGTTCCTCGGATAGCACAGATATATTGAAACCACGTCTTTGGATCCGCTCCAAGTATGATGTTCGGTCCAGGGCGACGCCTGGGCTCAGCACTCCGCCCCTGCGCACCACATATCGAGTGTTTATATGAGAACCACAGGAATATATTTTCTGCCAGCAAGCGGCAGGCTAATAGTCGCTGTCATAGCACAAATGAAATTACCTTACAAGAGCATGAGAGGCATGAGAGACTTAGATAAAACTATGGCGGCACCTCTGACTGGTTTAGTAACGGCTGTCACACTTTTTGAGAGCTCCTCAGAAACACACGGTGATGTGCAGTAGATTCCGAAGCCACTAACGGCGTTAAAATATCTAGACAACAAGACAATTAACTTCACAAGTTGCTGAACAGGACATGTAGCGCTTGACGAAAATGGCTAGTCTGTAATCGCGGACATAGGCGTATTGAAAAAGCAGCCATAAGATGCCACTACAGAAGCTAATGTTCAGCCTGTGCTTCCCGCGCCAGTCTCGAGTTGAACTCATTGAGGCATTGAAGCACCTCGTCTTCGTGTCACTCTCCCACACGTGCTCCCAAGCATTGTCCTCGAAGATATTGTCAGCCCTGTGAGTAAGCGCTAACAAAGTCCAAAACAACGTAGGAGTAGACGTGTACTTTGAAAACAACGAGAATAATAATTAATAATTGCCTTCTTCCTCATACAAAATAAAAGAAAAGAATGCAGACCAAAATCTACAAAAATGTAGCTTGAGTGCGGCTGAGGCTCAGGAGCTTTCTGCTCATATTTTTGCATTATGCTTCCGCAGTTTGTGTGAGCAAAGTGTTGAATTAAAATTGATCCAGCCATCTTAGGTGAACGCACAATGAACCCTAAGAGTTTATATATACATATTGCAGCGATCGACTTGAGAGCCAGATGGACGGATGGACAGTTTTCTAGTAAATAGGCAGAAAAATTTTTACGCATTTTAAATAAGCATAACATTGAAAATTCAATAGACCAGTGCTACAACTTTGACTTGATTATCAGACACACGGCCAGGTGTGACTTTATGGTGTAAACGTATGGTGACAACCTCAAGTGTGATGACACAAGCTCAGCTTCGAAAGTCGGTACTGTAGTGGCCTAATTATGGATTGTTCCAGCGTAAGCATGTCAGCTATATTAACAAAAGCTAAAGTATCACGTAAGAAGCTTTAGCTTGAGACGATGAATGCATGCCTTAATTGCAGTAAAGAATGCAGCTTAAGTCACTCACTTCACTATCATCTTGTCTTTCTCCTTGAGCACAACCACTGCGGCTTGCACCATGCACACAGCTGTTGTCAGGTACGCCGGATCTGCAATTTTATGAAAAGCATGAAGTTACACCTGCTTTTCGTGAAAACGACATTGCACTGCGGCATCAAACGCTTGACCATAGAGCTGCTCAGAGCAAAAGTGATGAAAGCCGTGAGGCTGCATTCAAGTAAAGTATTTTATAAAAGTATAAAAACAAAAGAGTGACTACGCCTTTAAAAAAAGAAAGTCATGCACGGTTTCTAAAGACGTGGAAACAGATTCCGAAGCAAACAAGTTGTCTTCGCGTAATATAGTACGTTATCAAAGATGCAGTGCCGTTCCGGGCAGTCCACTAAAAAGTTTTTTTCTGATTGCCGCATGGTCCAATCCAGCTGGTCATTTCCGTTCGCTTTTCGATGAACGTAGAACGCAAACGTTCACTAGTGTTGTCAGAGTACTTCAATACCGTCGAAACACTGAGATTAAAGGGGAGAGTGTGTGGTCATTACGCTATCGTTGATGTTATCAGGAGATTTTGAGTCGCATGTAAGAGTGAAACATTCAGCCATATTTCGTAAGCGCTTTAGGAAATACTCTTTAGGCAAGTGTCATTCAGTTGAGCCTAAGAAGACAGCATAAGGACGGTACGAAAAGAAAGGGAACGAAGACGGCCGCTGATTGCGAAATAAAAAGTTTATCGACAAAGGCAAGGATGTATAGGCTTTCAAAAAACTGAAAATAGATTAGATTACAATATTTAGTAACTTGTGTGACATAAAATGGTGGTTCATTCTTCAAACAAATCAAGTGGCAGAGTGCTTACACATTGAATGTTCCTTTCGTGGACGGCAAAAGCCTCGAATATTTCCCGTGCGCGCCTTCAACGTTGGCGCTTTAGGAGAGTGACGTCAGACAGACTAGGGATGCACCCCTGTCTGGCACAACGTGCGACTTATTGCGATATTACAACCAACGTGCGATATTACAACCAGCACCCGTTTTTAAAGGCGGGTGCTGGTTTTTCATATACCAGCACCGCTGGTACGCGTGCTGGTTTTCAATGCGAAGCATTTGTTAGCGAACTTCGGCGACATTGAGCGTATCTATCTATCAATCTATCTAGCCGCCTACGACTTTTAGCTCTCCTGGCCGTTTAGTTAATGCCAGCAATACCAAACTCGGTATGGCATAACATGACTGTATGAAGAAGATATTTGGCTAGTCATAACATGACAATCATGAATTCCATGATTTACATTTCATGGTCCTGCAGCTCTTGCAGTGGTTTCGTTCACATGGCATGTTGCAAAACTGGTATGGTATGACATGATTGCATGTCGTACGCAAGTGACCGACCCTAACATGAAAATCATAACATGCGTGTCATGTAACAACATGACTACATGCCACGCTCATGCGCTCGCAGCGGTTTCGCTAGCTCACATATACCAAATTTGGTATTACAGTACGTGAATGGATGACGGAAGCGTAATACTGGTGCAAACACGATAAAGATGATATGCGTGTCATGTAACAACATGACTACATGCTATGCTCATGATGCGCTCGTGGCTATTTCGCGAGCTTCACATGTACCAAACTCGGTATTACGTGACGCAAATGGACGACATAGGTAAATGACGCATCCAAACGTGATAATCACGACATGCGTGTCATGTAACAAGATTACTACATGCCACACTGATGATGCGCTCGCGGCCGTTTTGCTAGCTGCACATAAACGAAGTTTGGCGTTACGTTACGTCAGTGGATGACGAAGGTATATGACTGGTGCAAACTTGATAATGCAGAAAAGCGTCTCAATTAAGAAAATGACAACATACCACGCTCATAGCGTGCTCCGTGGCCGTTTTGCTAGCTCACGGATATACTATGTTTGGTATCACGTGTAGTGAATAGATGACGAAGGTAAACGACACATCCAAACATGAAAATCATAACACGTAAGCCATGCATGCATCATTTACTTCCACCTCGTAACATTTTGATGATTTTAGAGTGGCATACGGAAGACGAAGTGTTGCTGTAGCTGAGTGTTTGCCGTTCATCTTTAGACTTTTCTCCTATTTTCGCATTTATACTGGGAACATAGTTCCCTATTCGGCGGCTGATGGAAGTGGACTCATCTGCACACCCTCCCGATTTGCCGGCGACAGCACTGGCAGCCTCAAGGAAGCGAAACTGCCTTTCCAGTGACAGCGAGGCTACCCTTAGTAACACTGCCGAGAGCGCCGACAGCTCCGACGACGATAACGTGACCGTCATGAGCCAGAAAGCAAAGCGGAGGATGCTCAGGGCATCCATGGACGCATCTGCTTAGAGGGCCCCGCAAAGCCCGCCGAGGTACACCGTCCTATTCTTGCCTACGCAACCATTCATCAACATGAGACTACTGAACAGGCAAGCTGTATCTTCAGAGCTCAAGGCACTGTTGCCGAACAGTATTAAGGATATCAGAACAAATCTCCGGAAAAATGTTGTACCAGCAGACGTCGCTGAAGCGTCAGCGTTAGATTCACTGAGCAAAGTCACCGTCCTCGGCGGCACGAATGTTCACACTATCATTCCGCTAGGAAATCAGGCAACTACGGGTGTCATATATCACATCGATGTGACCATCTCGAACGAAGATCTGCCGATTCTTATTAAGCCTGCTAATGATGGGCCCCAAAGACTACAGGTGTGCCGTCTAGGAAAGTCGAGACGTGTGAAGATAGACTTTAAGAGTGTTTGCCTGCCGACACATGTAAGGGTGGGTCATTTCCGACATGCTGTGCGGCCATTTGTCCCTAAGCCGCTTCAGTGGTGAAAATGTCAGAAGTTTGGTCATGTGAGCGCCTATCTGTGGAAATCCTACAACATGTTCTCGTTGTGGTGCACCCACTCTGCGGACAACTGTAAGGGTAATTCCTATAATTACCCGAATTGCCAAGGACCCCATGACGCCACATCAAAAGAGTGTCCGAAAATAAGGCCAGAGATTTCGGTTTTGAAGAAAATGGTGAGGGACCGTTCGACTCACCGAGAAGTCGTTGTTGTCGTCAGGCGACATTGTTCTCGTCGCAGACGCTCGTCTAGAAAGCCTGCCCACAGTATCAAGCCTTCTGTAAAGCCTCCTTTCGTTGAATCGGCGTCACCACCACCACCACCGGACAGAAGGAACACGTGCACTGAGAATGCTGCCCCTAAAAAGGAGGCTCTGGAAGAGGCATGGCTATCCCTTCCAAGGATAACCCCTGCATAAAAACTGGAACGTGCACCGGTAGCACCACTTTCAGCATCTCGCCAAGATGAGGCGACAGAGCGTGACCTATGAAATTTGGACGATGATCAAGTCTCTCATCAATGCCATTCGCACGCTTATAGGCAACACGAACACGCCTACAGCACGATGCGCCGGGCAAGTATTGGATGCCCCGAGTCTAGTGCTTGCCAACTTTGCATAGACAAAATGGCTCGTTCACTGCCTTCATTCCGAGACGAAGTACGTAATGCGACAGTTTTACAGTGGAATTCCAGAGGACTTAAATCACGGATCTCATGTTTTCGACACTACGTTTTCCGCAACATATTTCCTCTATTAGTAATATGTGAACCAAATTTGTCAAAAGCGATAAAGCTTTCTGGCTACGAAGCCTTCACTTCATAGACTTGTGGTGAGCCCAGCAAAGTAATTATATATATCCGCACAGATTTAACCTACATTCCACATTTGGTGCAACCGCATAACGGAATCCCCATAACGTATGCCTCCACGTTGCAAAGAAGGTAGCCTTCACGCTTATCGGCGCATACATTATGCATCTGGCCAGTTTGATGGTGAAAAACTACATGACATCTTGACCACTACACCTGGGCTCTGGATTGTTATTGGTGATGTAGGGAACTATGCGAACGACGACGAAGCAGCATGAAACGGCAAGCCACAGCGTTGGTGCACGCGCGACCCGAGCTTGCGTTTGTTTTGTATTTTCGGCCTGTTGGCGTTCCTCGCTCTTCTGGCGTTCCTCGGCCTTCCAGTAGGTCTGTACGTGAATAAACTGCGTGACATCTGGTGGAGGTGTGTGGACTCCCGTACAAACCTGGAACTTCGCTCCCTTAAACTTCCCCCTCTACGTGACACGAACATGGCCACCGAGACGCCTCTCCAGGTGGGACCTTCGACCGTCCATGTCACTTGCGGTGCCGTGTATCCTCAACGAGACCCTCCTATCTTCACGGGCTTCACTGAGTCGGACGTCGAAGATTGGTTGGCGAGGTACGACAAAGTCGGCGCAAGTAACAAATGGGACGACTCAAGTAAGCTGGGCTACGTCACATTCTACCTTGCGGACACCGCGCAACTGTGGTTTAATAACCACGCAGCTGACATTACTACGTGGTCTGCATTCAAGACGGCTATTACGGACGTCTTTGGACGACCTGCGGCACGCAAGCTTCAAGCCGAGCACCGTTTACGTCCCCGTGCGCAGCAACCAGGCGAGACCTACACGGGCTACATTGAAGATGTGTTGCATCTATGCAACCGCATCAACTCTACCATGCCTGAGGAAGAAAAAATCAGGCACATATTGAAAGGCATTGACGACGGCGCCTTTCAGATGTTGCTTGCAAGAAATCCCCCCACCATTGCTGTCCTCGTTTCCCTCTGTCAAAGCTTCGATGAATTGCGTAGGCAGCGCACAATTGCTCGTCAAGCCCTCACGACGCCAGACACGCTCGCAAGCTTGAACCTAGCTGCCCATCCTACCGACCAGCAGCCGCTGCTTTCGACAATCAAGGACTTCGTCCGCGAAGAGGTAGCGCGCCAGCTGTCACTGCTGCCACTGACACATGAGCCCACGCAAGCTTTGGCACCGGACCTCCAACACGTCATTCGGACCCAAGTCGCTGAAGCCCTTCCGCCGGTGCATCAGCAACCACCAGTCACAACGCCTCTCACGTACGCCGCCGTCGCTGCTCGGCCTACGCAACAGCGTATGCCGTATGCTCAACCTGTCACGCCACCCTATGTCGTGCCTACAACCCCAATTGCGGC